AGCAAGGAGCAGTGGCGATCGATCAGGTGATTTCAAATCAATTGCTCCCAATGCAAACCCTTGAATCTTCAAAAGAGGGGTTTCAGGATGATGGAGACCACCCTCACTGCAAAGGAGAGGACGTGATAGATACTAGTATACCACCCATACTGGTACGGGAGTACTTCAAGAAGGCTGAGAGTTTGGTAAAAGCCGTTAAGCCGCCACACTTCCTTTCCCTTCCTGGACCACACCACGTGATTCTCGAATTTCTGACAGAGCTTCCAGTCCATTTACCTTACAGTTTTTTGAGAGTATTTCCATTCTATAGGGCTTCGATTCATTGTCGAGGATTTCAAACTCCCGCCGTTCCCTGGGACAGTACCTCCCACAGAGAGCTACATAGTAGTAGCCCTAGTAGTGTGCTCGCATCGAACATCAATATTCGCATCAAACAACACTAACGCAATGACACACACTGAATGGCCAACCATCACTTCCAATTCACTTCCACGGTTTTGTCTCGTCCACACCTTTTTTAACCGATTTTCTTGAAGCCTCTAGTCACTTTTGAGACGCGTGCTTTCTTCGCCTCCATCGCACTGTGATCCACCTTCTCTTTCATTTTTCGTCATAATCTGGATAATCCTGAATTATCGTGAACTGTATCTTCGATTTTGGGGTAAAACGGGGATTGTAAGGCAAAAGTTGCATGGAAAGGGTATTGAACTGCCCAAATATGTTTGCCTTTGCGTACAGCTGGCCACATAACAGCTTTCTGCATGAAACTTGTGTGTCCAGATGCGGGCGGTGTAACCTCCACAGCCTCTACAACACCTTTAGAACTCGTCCGCTCCGGATGAGTATACTGGTTAAGCCGTTCTCGGGGCCCCTACTGCTCCCCATCTGACCCACCAACCTAGAACCCTTCTCTTCTAGGCACTCTTACAAACTCTTTTTGATTCTTCGTAATTTGGGAGAGAACGGCAGAATGGAGAAGGTAATCAATACGCGCTCCACAAATACTTTTACAGGCTTATCAAGAAGCAACAGTAAAAAAAAGAAATACTTCCCAATCTCGATAACCCAAGAAGGCGGCAAATACCGATAAAAGCGAATTCTTTCCAAAGTTCAGTAGGTGTTAGATCAATATATGTGGGATAACAGCATGAGACAAGTTCTGAGAACAAAACACTCACCTCCAATTAGCAATTTTGCGTTGTCGGGGATATCTCGCACAGCCTCCTTTGCGTCCAAGTAGATTTTTGCTCCCCAACATGGAGACGTTGAAAAGCGGTGAACGAAGGCCAAGAACGATCTCTGCTAATAACTTGTCTTTTAGTTCTGCGGAAACAGAATATCGACATAAAACTTACTTCACAGGAATGTCTGAATAGTGGAATACCTATTCGCGCTAAGACCATTCGCCCTTCTGAAACATGGGCCTTTCATCGATGTCATTAAAACAGTTCAGTTATCGAAGAAGATGGAAAAAACAGTCTCGTTTGACAGCTAAATTTGCGATGTGCTAAAAAAAAGTCAATTTGCATGTCAGCTAATACAGAAATTAATTTTGAATTTGAATAGGCATGCTCTCATTTCGAGATCAAATCGGAAATGGGGTTTAGTGCAACACCATAGTTGGAGGTCCTGGTAAGACAAAGTAAGTGCAGCAATAAATTCATTGAATAATAACGGGTGAAGGAAATCGGAATCGGAGGATCAAAGAGCGGTGCTTTTTGAGTTAACCAATTTGTCTCGAGATGAAAACTTGATCTTGAAATCTCTGCTTTCATTTAAAATCGTAGCGACAAGCGAAGAATATTTGTCTTCTGCAATGAATCAAAGGACCACGTCGGAATACTTTTCAGCTTCTTTAACCTGCAGAAATGAATCCGTTTCAGTTACCATCATCCAGAAATGGAAAGGTTAATTGACGCGACGGTATGGATATAAGCTCAACTGTCACGTGGTGCTTCCCCGCCTTCGCCCACTCTGCTTTCTGTTAACAGTCATTTTGTGGAGAATCTCAAGCAAATGTGTTGGAAAAAAGGAATCATGAATAAAGGAATGCCAAACTGATGACTGCGGTAGAGTACAGAACAGTTTTGATTGACAAATCTAGATAGGGTTGTTTGAGGATTAGAAAGTGCGACAGCAACTGATATAGAAGCATTCAGACTAAAAAGTAATCGCACAAGAACAACAACGTCAATATTTATCGCAATTCACAATCTTCCCTCAGTAGATTATCTTTCGTTCTCATTCATGCAAAAACACCATAATTAGAAGAAAAGGCCGATATCTGAAGTGCATTCAAAACAGTTGAGTCCTTTGCATGATCGACGTGGTCTTCCTTATCCGAGCAGCACCATACATATTTGCTTTGCTATCAAGGACATTGTTGGTGCGACTTGAACAATGAATGCTGTGAAGGAAAGTCTTCAGACTTTCAGACCTCCTGGCACTTTTTTGATACTACCTTGAAATGCTGCTGTGGCTGGAGATCCTCCAAAATTAGCTTCACCACTTCAGAAAACGTAGACTTTCTTCTTTTCGAATTTTTCACCTCGGCTTATCCTTCTGTGGATATTTTTATCGGTTGTACTGAATAAACAGATCGGAAGAAAAGGCCGCAACTAAGCAAAACTATCGAGGAATCGCTGCCGCTTGAAGGAAACTTGAACAATAAAAACTGGCTAGGAGCACTTCAGTTGAGGACTTCAGGATTAAAGGGGAGAATTTTTAATAAAAGCTTCGTAAACAAAAAAGTACAGAATAGGTCATTCTCTGTCTTATGCATCTAGTTCTCCTTTTATATTTGAGAAATTTCTGCCAAATTGTTTTTTGATCTCCATTTTGGAATGTTGCCTCGCAGAGCGGTGATTAGGGTGGATAAGTAGCAGTGGTGGCAAATGTAGAAGAGGCTAAGAGGAATATTCGCAGCTCCAGTAGGGGCTCCTCCTTTGAAAGTCTCGAAGAGCAGATTGGTCATTACATTCCTCGGAGACTTTTAAAAAGTATGACAACGATTTCTGAAGTTCAGTGACAGAGAAGCTCATATTCACACCCTAGGCAGTTTTTGAGTTGTCACTAGGTCCCAGTTAAGAACATGGGTTGAGGGTAAATGGTATCATTGTCACCATGAAAATCACGAAAGTATGCTAAAATTCGTACGCGTATGTATTACACAACGGTTTCTTGTCGTTGTGTTTCCGCATTCCGAAAACCAATGTGATTAAAAACACATCCTACTTTTTTCCTGATCCATTCGACACGGCACGGCACTGGTGATTTTTGGATGAATCACAGTCACCGTCTAAATTGCTTTATAGGTCGCCTCTTCTAGAAAGGGTGCCACAAGACGGGTGTCTGTCGTTTTTATGAGTATATGCACCCATCCTTGAAATGATCTATAAAAATCGGGAAACAAAATTCTAAAAAAAGTTTTTATATATTTCGGGAGAGAAGTACTTGCAGGCGCCGAATTCCTTCCACTAAAAAAGACGTGCTTTGGAGGCGTACAATCAGAACAATCCAGTCTGTTAATCTGATCCTGCGGAACGGAACGATCTCTGCAGGTTTTGTTGAAGATGAACTTGAACAAATGGATATTATACCTAGTGGTGGTGTTGATGCACTTGGCGCACTATCGAACAGGCATGGTCCGCAATTCGTAGGGCTGGTTGATATCCGCTCTGGCCATTCATGGTCGGTTGATGGGAATCAGAGCCGCCTAAGAGAGTAAAAGCAAAGACTTGTACAGTTCCATGCTCCAGCTCGGTTACCATGCACTTCAGAGAATACTAATTTCCACTTCGTTCGGGCAATGCATATCCGCGGAAACGCGACGCATCAGGCTGCTCTCACTTTGTGAGGTACCCCAACATTGATTCGGCTAGAAGCCGAGTCCCAATGTACGATCGTGAATAGTCGAATTTGACAGAGATAGCATTTCCACTACCTCACGAGTAGTTATGCTCCGATTCTTTTCGATGAACATTTTGATTCGCCTTAATCAACAGAGGATGATCTTCGCGCCCATTGATTATCCTCGAGGTTGAATTCATTCTGTCTGAAGCCTGTAAATCACTTTCGCTTTGTGCATTCTGATAGAGCATTGCCTCTGTAGATACCACATATATTATTCGCCTTAGAGGTGCTCTTTTGTTCTTTCGGTATGAGAAATTAGGTGTCGAAAACATTGTGGGTGGTGCTTCTCCTCCATATCGGCTCTACACGAACAGAACTCAAAGAGTTTCAGCTTACTTAGGACTATAATGAAGAGGAATACTTATTAAATTTTCCAGAAAATAACAAATTGTTAATGCAGTATCTGTGTCGATCGTTCAGTGGCAGCCGTTTATTGAGCGAAGAGCATTCTACAATATTCCCGAGCACTTAGACGTAGATAGACACGTAGATAGACATTACAGCTGTTACAGATGTGTTCACAGATGGTCAACTAAAAAAGGTACATGTGACATGATAAGAACTAGAGGAATGTTAACGATTGAGGGTATGATGTGATACAATAATCGGACAATAAGAGAGGGGGAATAGAGAAGTCGTGGTTGACCACGACACTCCGCCCGCGGGAAAGGCATGAACTAACTAACTACAGAATTAATCATACAACCAAACAAGAGAAAGCATGAAATATCAGACATATCTTCCAGTCGGCAACGGCGCACTGCATAGGGCTCGATCGAAGGTGCCATTGAAACCATCAATAACCGCAACTCCACCAGCACTGCTAGCCATACCATTCCGCAGGGGAAGTGAGTAAGATGACGTGCAGTAGGAATTGGTGCCGCTCACAATAAAGGTCGACGAGAGCGGCACTGCGGCAAAAATGAATATGTCAATCGAGGCGTGAAGGTCGAATGTCAGCAGGCGAATATCAGCCGGGGGAAGTGATGACGACGGGCGAGTGCAGTGGGTAGAATAAGGAGTAGAATAGAGTAGCAGCCATAGATGATTACCAACGTCGTTGCTTTTATTGTTCGCTCTGGCCGCATAGGAGGACCTTGTGTTCGCCACGGTAAGAAGCATACTTGACATGGCAACTTCCACCGTGGACAGGGCGCAAGCATCTTCCGCATAGGTGCAGATCGACGGCTCGTACGTTACGGAGGAACGGTTCAGGATAATTGTAGTAGTCGGCGGATTGGTGCCTGTCCATGTTCTCATCAAGAGGGCAGAATGCACAGGGTGACGTTGGAGCGAAGCGCTCTATCAGCATGTGAATATCGTCGTGAATATGTGACACCTCGGCACGGATCTCTTCTATACTCATAGAGAGACGGTTGACGGTTTGGGTAGGAAATTCCACTGTCGGACGACGGCCGGGCTCCATTAGCTGAATGTTGAAGTCAATGCCGTCCGCCGTACAGTTGCGACTGTGGCCTCCTTTATTTCTTTGTGTACCCGAAAAGCCATGCCAGGTGGCTAGCTTCAGTATGCCAAGCGAGTGTACTTCGTCCATGAGCGAGGAAGATGACTCATTGAAGTGCCGACCACAAAGCTACATCAGCTATAAACAAAGGCTAGTGAACAGCGAATCTAGGGGCCAGATTGAGCGTACAAGGTGAGAGCTATAACTATACTTTCATTTCACTAAATGGCTAGCTGATTTTTAAACGTTCTACTTTTTACATACGTTTTTAACGACTTCACAAGCTGCGAGGAGGATTGCTGATACCCACTTGACCGAGAGTTCGAAACTTATAAACAGGAGTCGTATTGCAAGGAGGATAACAATTGGTCCGAAAAAATATGCCGCTACGCCGAGGAGTGCGGTTGTGCCGAATATGGCGAGAGCAGATCTCCAGTGACTTGATACAATCGCTCCAAGCGGTCTCAAGTCAGGGACGCTGATATCGCGGAACCAACTTGAAGGTGCGATCCACGACACCCTTTCATGTGATGCTAAGATTTCAGTTTCATTGAGGTGGGGCATATAAGCTAGGATACCGTGAAGTTTTAGTCTGGTATGGTTGTTGTGGCACTCAGCGCGGCAGTCCTGGGCAATGATTGCATGATGAAAGTCAAGTTTGACTTGTGTTGATTTGTTGTATGGGTCGCTTTCGATGGAGAAGAAGTGATCGTCGCAAAGAAAGATTATCCATGTCGGAGTTTTTGTGAAGCAAGAGGCATGCGCGACGGCGCCTTCCAGACAGCTATAACACCCTGTGAGTGGTCCAAGGAAAACTTCACATGCTTGTAACGTTACGTATGCGGCACTTTTTTTTGATGAACTTGGACTCGATGGTGATTGCCATTTCTTCCCTTGCGGAGTGCGCGACGATGAAATTGTTTATGCCTCTCTGCACTCTTATGAAAGGAGTCGAGATTGGAAGTATGTTGGACACGTCTTTTCTCACATGCCCTATAGTGTCAGCTGGACAGTCACATCGAGTTGGCGTGCTCATTACGTTACAGTCGCATATCATTCGG